GGGGGGGGGGCCGGGGGCCGATGGAGGGCGGGGGGGAGGCCGAGGGCCGATGGAGGCGGGGGGGGGGGGGCCGGGGGCCGATGGAGGGCGGGGGGGAGGCCGAGGGCCGATGGAGGCCGAGGCCCCTCTGCTGGCTCAGCACGGGTGACTCGCTGATGCATCACTGGCCGCCTCAGCATTCTGCAAACACGGTACGTACGTTAGGTCAGGAAAGGTCCTTCATGATGGTGACCTACATTGAAACTTTAATGTGAATTTTCAGGGGTTAATTTTGCCGATGAATCAAGCATGAGCGCACAGATGAATCTGAACTTCCCATATCGTTATAGTCCCATCACTGCCCCCCCCCCCCGGCACCTTCTCCTTTCTCTGGAGGTTACTGTTACTTTGCACGTAGCGGCCCAGCCTTGCTGATGACATACCCACATGTCGTCCGGGTCCCCCTCGGATCTCAGTACTCGCCAACCAATCAGATTCAGGGTAGAAGACGGGGCTGCCTGAAACAGGCGGGGTTTCCTGTTGTAGTTTTTCCCTTCCTCCAAACACAATCGTCAACCTGGCTGTAAAATGGCAGTTTATGGAAGTACACTTAATTTCAATGGTAGGGGAGGGGGGGTTGTGACCCCCGGTGAAAGTGTTAAGAGGCGGAGGAAGTTCTCCCCGACCCCCTCATTCTGTTTCTATGCCAACGATCATCCCACAACTGTCTCCACATACGCTCCAGCTGTGGAGACCCCCCCCGCCCCCGTGTTGTGTCTGACGTACCTGGGCCCGTGTTTGCTTGCTATTCTCACACTGACTCTCTGTCTCCCTCAAACACTGGGGCTCTTTGTGCCCCCCCCCCCCCCTCCACTTTGTCAGGGGCCACATACCAGACATTTCTGTGCATTGGCTGGACAAGCAAGCAGAGATCTCATTGAGGGGAGAGAATCTCTTCACCCCCCCCGACCCAGTGGCCACTTATCTGGCCGTCCGGGCTGGTGGGGACTGCAGTGCAAGCCCCCCACCCCCAAAGAATTACTATTTCACATTTACATTGAACTATTTGCGGACACCTGGGTAGGGACCCTTATCAAAATGGCTGTCTGTTCCTCTGGGTGTGCCATGTTGCTGGGCCCCCAGCAGCCGTGCCCGCACGCCCGCCCGCCCGCATACGGGGCTGCAGTCCAGCCAGAGGCAGCCATTGTCCTGCGCACTTGTCCTCCTCCATCTCTGGTTGCCACCAACTTTCTCAGTTATCCTCCGCGGAGGGCGGGCCCAGCGGGTTCGTCGCCATGCGAGGCGTGCCACCCCTGCGCCAGTCCCCCTGCGCATCCTCAGCTCGCATTTCACCCTGAATCTAACGTGGGCGGCATCGCATGCTGATGGGGGAGCAATGCCACCCATCCTTTGAGTCTTTTTTGTTTTTTATCCCTCGTTCTCCCTCCCTCCACATTGTGCCTCTCCACCGTGGCTGATTGATGACATACTACCCCCCCCTTCCCGTATCCTGCTCCTTTTCTTTGTTTGAGAGCGCTCCCTCCGGTGGCAAATGGGCGCCGACGCTCTCAAAGCCCCCCCCCCCTGAATTCTCTGCTGATCTCCGTGCCTCAGTGTTAGGGTGGCAGGCTTCCTGCTGGACTGAGGAAACCCATCAGACTTCCAGGACAGTGGGACTGGAGAGTCCTGGGTCCTGCTGTTGTACCTTTAAAGCGATGCCCCAATATGATGTTCTTTTGCAAAAACATATTAGGGGAAAAAAAGGTTTTGAAAATTAGTGTCTGGTTGGTGAACTGATTAAAGCAGCTCTCCATACCCCCCAAATTTAAGTCCAACTCACCCTTACCTGAAAACTGCATCAGTGCTGAGGGTGAGAGTCACGCTTCCATGTTGTCCTGGACTTCCTGCCGGATTTGACCTGAGTCTGTGGGTGAAGGGGAGCCTGTCACCGTCCCCCACAGACTGCGACTGTACCGCATGCTGGCATGGGCCCAAACCTGCCCGCCCCCCCCCAGGCCCTCTCAGATCCGCTCTCCCAGCACCCTTATCATGACCGTGGTGCCCGGGCAGTCGGAGAGGCTTAAGTAATTAAAAGCCGTAAATTAAACAAACTGGAGCGGCTGCTAGCACTCCACCGTGCTTTTCTGGCGAATCCGGCTGCCGCGTTCCTTGCCGGCCAGATTGCGTCTGGTCATGCCGCTCCCTGTCCTCCAAGGTGTCACTGCATGCGTTTCGGGGGTGGTGGGGGGGGGGGCTGTCACAAAAGCAGCCAATCCAAAAGAAGGAGCGGAGCTCCATGAAGGGCACCGAGCCATGGAGAACGGACTTCCATGCCTCGTGTCGGCCGTCTGAACGGGTCCTGCCCAGAACAGCAGCTGCCGGTTGGCCGATGCGTCTCCAGGAGAATCAGCGGAGCGTGCGAGCCCGTTACGCCGCCGTCCCGTCTCGGTGGGGCGAGGCGAGGCGGGGGAGGAGGTATCGGAGCGGGGAGGGAGGCATAGGTGAGCTTCACGCTTCACGAGGCCCGTCCATCTGTCTCCACGGGCGAGGAGGACAGCCGAGCCAGAGTCCCCGGCATGCCGGCGAATTCCGCCCACGCCGCGGGGAATCGCGCGCGATCGGCGCTGCAATATGTTTCGCCGCAGCTAAGACGAGTGCCCGGTTCCAGAACCTTCCGGGGGGGGGGGTGGGGTGTGAAATCTGTTCTGTGCTGTGTTATTTCGAATTTGTGCCCCAAGCCTCCATGGTAGGTGGCACCCCTTCTTTCTGTATCGGTGGGGGGGCCTGTCCCTGATGACCGGCTGCATTCTGTACCCCCCCCTGCAGGCTGGGCGACCAGTTCTACAAGGAGGCCATTGAGCACTGCCGCAGCTACAACTCCCGGCTGTGTGCCGAGCGCAGCGTCCGGCTGCCTTTCCTCGACTCGCAGACGGGTGTCGCCCAGAACAATTGCTACATCTGGATGGAGCAGCGCCACCGCGGGCCAGGTGGGTGAACTGCACCCTTAAATGGTGGAACTGCACCAGGTTGACCTGCCACCTTCCATTCCGGCCCCCATCTCCTTCCCAGAACCTCCTCTGTCCAACCTTTGACATTCATAGAGTAGCTTGTGCGCTAACTTAGATTTAGTTTGAGACAAATGGGGACGTAGAACCTTCTATGGTGCTGCGGGGGCTCGTCAGCCAGCCAGAGACGCCCGTAAATAGAAGCAGCGTCCTGCTGGGCGGAGTCCTGGCCCCACCCTGTACTCTGTGGTCGTCGGGCTTCCGTTCAGACGGACCGGTTCCGGATTTATCATTGCGGTTGCCATCTGCTTCTCCTGAAAGGACGGTGCCGCACGTTTGTGAAGGAAAGGCGACGGCCTGGTCAGTGTGGGTGAGGGGTGATATTCTCACCCGGGCTGTGTGTGTGTGTGTGTGTGTGTGTGTGTGTGGGTTCAGGTCTGGCCGCGGGACAGATGTACACGTACCCCGCCCGCTGCTGGAGGAAGAAGAGGAGGCTGCACACGCCTGTGGACCCACAACTGCGACTCTGCGATCTGCGGCTCGGTGAGAACACACCTCTCCTACTCTCTCCCAAAATTCCCTCCCCCTATCCTGTCTCAATAAATATTGCTCTTTCCTCTCATTCAGATGCATTTGTTTTTCACCTCCTCTTCCTGTTTACATTCCATTTTCTCCTTTCTCTCTCTCTCTCTTTCATCCTTTAATTGCCTATTTGCCCAGTATTCTTTGTTTGTCGCCCCCCCCCCCCAACCGAAACACATCCCGGTGCAACTCCCTGTGCACATCCCTGCACATCACCTCCCCCAGATGCCTCCACCAAACCCCTCCCTGTCTCGTTAGTGGTGTACCCATGCTCATCTAGCAGAGGTCATCCAGATGCCCCTGACATCCCATAGCCGGTTTCTCCTGAATATTCACTGAACCCTCACTCCCCCCGGTTCCTGCGGTCAGAACGAGCTGGCCCACCTTCATAAGCCATCTCAAAAACTCTGAGATATTTATCAGTCATGAAAGCAGGGGAGTCACAGTCAGCCGCGTCGAGCCGTCTGCTTTGACTCCTTGTCAGGCATTGTTCTGTAACGCGGGCACGCACATTTACCTCATTTTCAGAGGAGTGCAGTGCCTTTGGAACTTGGCTCCTGTAAATCTGCAGAGACGTCCGTTAGGATTCACAGCACGAAGCGGCGGTCAGACCGAACACATCTGATAAACGCAGCGAACGCTGAATGCGGGTCCATGCTGTGCTGTTCACCATTGCTGTTGATGTGAATGAATGTCTTGTTTGCAACACGCTGGAGATTAGCTAAGGTTAGACAGCCGCAGATTTGTTTATTTTTTTTTGCCATTCTGGGCTCGTGTTTCCCCAAGAACGTTAGCAGAGCAGGCCATAATGTTAACGGCTGCACAAAGTAACGTTTGCAGCTAGCTAACTCTCAGAGCCGTTTGTAGCACAATAAACAGGTATAACAGGCAAACCAAACAGAACAACAGCTGACTTACTGCAGCTGATTCTCCGGTTTATATTACGGAAGCTGCAGCTGGTTAATTAAACAGGGCGTGCCGTACAGGATGACCATCGTTTTGCTGCAGGACAAATTAGGCAGATATTGCATAGTTATTAGCTAAAGTAATTAGCTGAAGATTTCAACTGAAGCTTGGGTTTTAGAATAAAAGCTGAAATTCTGGTTTTCCTTTGTCTTTTATGTGAAATAAATTATTCCTGACAAAAATGCATCTATTAAAAATCTTATTCTCTCTCCTGTTCTTCTGACAGTGATGCCTGATAATCATTAATGCGCCTTAAGGCGTACCACGTTTAGTATTAGTTAGACCTCTTTCATCAGTGGTCCAACAGCAGTATTCTGGCTGGGATTCTGCATCTGTAAGTGTAACCAGGCCCTAGGTATGGGTGGTGTGGTAACACATAGTCTGTATCGTTATGAGTTTTGAGCCCAACCCATAAAGAGGGGACATGCTGGACCCTGCATTACTGCTTTGGGGATTTATGAGATTAGCAGATAGCAGCAAGAACCTGAGCAGGACTTTTAACAGCCCCACAATGCAGAGTAATGTTTAATATTTTGTGTAATATTTTCTATGAGTACCTGTAGTGCCTGATGTTGTTAGCGTTGACAGACTAATGTAGCGTGCCTGAAAGCGTCTGTACAAGCAATTCGTTTGAGATGTTGTTGCATACTAACAAAATGAATATAGCACCCGGTTTTCAAGCTGTATCCTTCACCACGGCCGACATGACTGCTATGGCAGCTGCTTTGAGGAGTCCGTCGCCCGTCGCCCGCTGCCGACAGAGATGTCCGCAGGGTCTGGGGTGTTGAAGAAGCGTTTTATTTTTTATCTTTTTTCTGAGCCGGAGCAGCTCCTGGCCCCCGGGCTCCTGCCTCGTCCTTGTCAGCGGGGCCTTGGGAGCGCCGAGGCGGGGGCAACCGAGGCAGGGACTCCGGCTGCATGCCGAATCGAGCACCAGGGCTGGGCAGCCCGGCTCTATTTTCAGCACTGCTCTCCCGGGGTGGGGTGGGGGGGGCGGGGGGGGGAGTGTGGGAAGTTGTCTCACCACTGACAGCTGAAAGTCAACCTGCACAGACACAATGGATGAGGATTGGGGGGGCAGTGGGGGTAGGAGTCACGGATGAATGGTCAGTAAACCCGGGTTATTGCGTTGGCGGCCCCCGGGGGTGGAGAGCAGTGACGCTTCCCTCCGCAGCCGCGCCTCCGCCCATGACAGGCGGTGGGGAAATGGCTGCCAGAGAGGTGCCTCCTGTTAAATCCCGGCTCCCTAAGGACTGCGGCCAAACGGTTACCGGCGGCGAAGCTGCCGTGTGGCGGGATCCGAATACAGTCCCAACTGCCTCATCAAAGCGGGTTCGCCTTTTGATTTGGCATCAAGGGGAGGAACACAGACCAACTGTCGGGGGGGGGTCTCGCTTTGTCTGACCTCTGCCTCTTGTTGGGGGGGGGGGGGGGGGGTGTACTGATACCGCTCATCCTTTTATCTCCGGTACCTTCCGTGTTTCATGTTCTATTCTCGCGGACATCTGTGTTGGGAAGTTGGGAGGGAATTTTCAGTGTAAACTTGGAGACGTGTAGGAGTCGCCGTGCGCTAAACGTACAGGTGTGCGCATGCGAGCGTGTAACTGCAGCAGGTAGCTCAGTGCTTATGGAAGGATCTGAGACGTAAAGCTGTTGGTTCAGGTCCCACGAGGGGCAATACTGTCGGAAGCACGAGCGAGGTACTTCACCTAAGTAGCTCCAGTGACATCTCCAGCTGTACTAATGGGCATGATTGTGTAATTAATTATGAATAGATGGCAGCTTCTGTTGAGAGGCTGAGTCATGAGCCCCCCCCCCCCCCTCCCAGGCTGTGAGTGTGTGACGGACTCTCAGCATGTGTGCCCACAGAGGGGGAGCTGGCGGCCAAGAAGGAGCCCCTGGCCTCGGAGAGCACCGCCCTAGAAGCGCTGCTACGTGGGGAGGCCCTGGAGAAGCGCGGCCCCAGCAGCACCAAGGAGGAGGAAAGCCTGCTGGAGATCCAGGTGGGAGGGGCTGTGGGCTGGATCATAGCCTGCTGTCCACTTAGTGTCAGGGCAGGAAGCTTTCTGGAATGTTTTGGATGCATTTGCTTTGGAAAATAAGAATTTGTTTATTCTTACTTTAAATTATATGTGCATTTTTTTTGGGGGGGGGGGGGGCAGTGCACATGCAGGGTTTTGGCGGTTTGGTATTTTAAAAGCTCTGCTTTCCACCTGCCTGCCCATCACAGAGGGTTCTGGAGGCGGAAGAGAATGGGGACGGTTACCATGACGACGAGGACTTTGAGGTGGACACCCCGAAAAGAAAGCAGAGGAGCAAAGGCCGGGTGAGGCTCCCACGGAACCAAGAAGAAGCACTTAAATGCCCCCACCTATCTGAGGATGCAGGGCCCCCCCCCAGGAGACAGACAGCCCTGTCTCAGGCTAGACTGAGTGATGAATTCAGGATCGAGAGGGTTATGATCTGGGGTGAGCCCCACAGCAGGATGGACAGGGCTAAATTACCCACCTCGAGACGGGTCACAGAAGACAATGGTAACTATAGCAACCTCAACATATATCAAATGGCAGGTCTGTCAGGGTCCAATTCAGACCATATATTTGCATTTTTCTTGGCATTTGTGATGTCATATCAAAGGAACCGTGTTATGCAAAAATAACCAATGTCGTTACCAAATGCATCTTGGGCTGAGGTGTGCAACATCGCCCCCTGCTGGCAGAAGTGGTTGATGACATGCTCACTCTACCTACAGGGTCGGGGCACAGGGCGCAGGAAAACTGAGGCGGCTCTTACGGACGACCAGGACAAGCCATATGTCTGTGACAGTAAGTTCGCGTGCTGCGCTGAGAACAACTCCGCCCAAACCCAGCTCTAGGGCACCAGGACCATGATGAAATACGTAACTCGGGCCTGTTCCAGCCAATACTGAAGCCTCTGCCAAGGAGAGGTGATTTACTGTCCGGTAAACCCATGCGGGACAGAAGGCTGTGTCAGACATTTTCCCGTTCAGTTCCTGCCAGGATTTTAAAAGAGGAGCTCCACCAGGTCTGACAAACTTCTGCTGTGCTTTTTATGTATCAGCAGCAGAAGCTGGTTACGCAACAGTCAGCAGACTGTTTATTGGAATATCACCGATTAAACAGTAACAGAAGTGCTGACGACCAGGGACCCACCCTGGGAATCGTCCACTTATCTCATCAGAATTAGCTTCCACCAGAGCACGGAGCAAGCCAGAGTTTACTGACCTATCGATACATGGAGCTCGCCGCTGATATACCCCCTGAATCCCCATCTCTTTGTACGTTTGCTCCTCCTCGACCAAATCTGTTTTGCGAATGTCCCTGGCCTCTTAAGGCCATGGGTCCCATCTGGAGCGAGTCCAGTCCATCGGTAGTCGTTATCTGAGAGCTGAAATGGACTGTTATGGATTTTTATGGCCCCCGAACACGGAGCCAGGATCCACCCAAAGGATTAAGGGTCACCCTTTGAAGTGCTGCACTTCTGTATCGAAACGTTTTCATATGTGTGACACCCTTTAAAATACGATAAACGCATCGGTTGCTGCCTGCTTTGAGTTTGCGCACATTGGAGGAAATGAGAAAAATGCTTCTCATACTTTCTGGTTTAACATCATGGGCTATGAGCACATCACCTGGTATCACTAATCAAAATCCAGCCAGCTGTCATTAATTGGGGATCTCATGGTGTTTCCTTTCCCCTCATTACCCCTTTCCTCAGTTCTGAAGGGACATGATTTTTTGTGTGTGTGTTTTCTGTAACATATAGACCACTCTACATACCCAGGGGCAGAATTCTACCAGACTAACTGGTTGGATTTTGATGAGGGATTACTCTAGCCTCTAAGTTTTATCTTCTTGGAAGCAACAAACTCTGGTCGCTGGTTGGTCAGTACAGCAGAGTATAATTTTTTGTTAGGAGATGTGGTGTGAAAATCCAGTTTTCCTTTTTCATCGTCACATTACTAGGATATTCTGATTTGAGTTGCCTTTGAATCTCTTCTTTTTGCTTTCATTCAGGGTTCTGTTTTCACTTATAAGGCCAGTTGTGCGGCTGTTTACAGAGGGCCCAGTTCGGGGTGGCTTTCCCGAAAGCTTCATAACCCTGAGTAGTTTGTTATCTAGTACTTAAGATCGATCGTTAATTAGCAAGCGTTTCCCAAAACCCTTCGTAACGAAAGAAATTCGTTATCTCGTTTGTAGATTTACGAGTTCTCCGACCCAGTCGTTATTTTCTACGTCGTTCTTTATTTGAACTTTTGCCTGCTGTCCTGTCACAGACACACAGAGATCGGCCAAAATAGACAACAAAAAGACATTGATGCTCTTTTTTTGGACACCGTAATAATGCTGATGATGTCGTAAGAGGTCAATATTGCAATATAATAGCTAAAATGTTAAGTATAAATTAGCACAAATGGGGCTGATTGTTGTAACACCTGTATGCCAGTTGAGTACATAACAGGGTTGTGCACCATTCAAAACTGACTTGAGATTGACCTTGAAAATCAAATTCAATTTACAAATGAATTGAAAACACGGTGCAGAATCGCAATTCGACTTTGAATATAAGGAAGTAGAATTAAAAAGGAATTGATTTCACATAAATTCATATACATAGTGTAAGTAATATTTCAATATGAATTACCCAGCGTGATAACATAAACTGCATATACTGAATCCCGCCCATGCCCCACCACGCGATCAGGAATATTTATGGCATCAAAAAGTACCCATTGGCCAGGCCCCCCTGTTTGAGCACCTGCCTGAAAAGACTGTGCATGTCACTGTTATTCGTAATGAATGCCACATTTGAAGTGTCTCCTATACAAGAAATAATTTAACTGCAATTTTGTGTACCATGGTGAAAGAGCACTTCATACAGCCATACAAGTAACCCGATCACAGTCCTATTCATCTGACAACTCACTCAGGAAAAGCTACTGCATGCAGACTCCTCACAAATGGTAATAAACATAAACAAATATGCAAAAACAATAAATATATGCACATGGAAAAGCACTCAGAGGGCTGATTTAAACCAAATGCATATTGGTAGAAAAGCCTAAAACAATTACACAATTTTTATCTTGCAGTACAGACATATAAAGTTTTCTCACTAGTCAATATATACATCTACCATCTTGAAAGGAAATCTGTTAACGTAATTATTTATGTTTTGCTACATTAAATGACATTCATGTATTTGATGATTGCATTGAATTCAAATGAGTTAAAGTATTATTACTGTCATTCCAATTCAACATTTTACAAGGTGTGGCCAAGTCAATTCAAAATCCAATTCATAAATTTTGAACAACCCTGGTAAGCTACATAATGAGCTAACCAATCAAATGTGCCATGTGTTCAGTCACATCTTTTCAATTGGGAAGGTGAATCACCCCTCACCACCAGCAACGGCAGAGAACAGAAGACACCTTTGGAGACAGCCAAGTAGCTTTTACAGGTGGCCATGAAACCCATGGACCATCTCATTAATGAACGATTCATAGATAAATACAGGGCTGGTGAAATAATGAGCCCGTACCCTGGTGCAGGATAAGTTGAAAAGGGGAACACACTGGAATTTTGCCCTTAGTGCATTGTGCAGCTTCTGCCAGCTCTCTGCTTCTACGCCACCAGTGGATTCCTGTAGACCTACAGATGCACATGGGCCTTAGCAAGGCTGCTGTGTCCTGCATCTGTACATGCATCGGTCATGTTTCTGTTGCACCATGCACACAACTACATACAGTGTCCAGCAGGAGGGGATGCCTTGCATGATACTGGAAGTGGTTTTCTTTCCATTGCAGACATACCTGACATTGTAGGTACAGTGGATGAAACCCTCAACCCTATTCATATTTGCAGCCCCTTGAATCACACCTGCACCTGTTGAAAAGGGTTTTTGGCACTAGGCCAAAATGTCCACGTAATCTGCAACCATCAAGGTCATTTTACAGGCATTGTCGCCAAGTGTCCTGTGAATACACATGATGCTTATATCTGCTCCAGCTTTGGAGTGTAGCAGATGGGAAAGGATGGTGTGTTTGCTGGCGGCTGGTTATTGGGAGACAGCAGGTGTCCTCTTAGCAAATACCTGCTGATTCCAGTGCTGAATTCCCAAACCATAGCTGAGGAGACGTATGACATCACACACGAAAGACACACACTGCTGTACTGGGTGCTTTGGGCATGTGGAAGATGTGATTCTGGTGCCTACACAAGTCCTTGGGAGCTCTAAGGTTTCCCCCTGAATGTTGCTGTGCTGTGCTGTTATGTGTAGTATGCTGCTCAACGTTGCAGTAAACCTCAGTTCTCGAACTCATTAGAACTCAAATTTTTTAAAAGTCGAGCCAACCAGTTCGAAAAAAAATTACTTAGAGCTCGATCTGAATCTCAGAAGTCAAACCGTGAGCACCGACCTAAGATAACTTGTACACGCGGGGAAATGAGTCACGCGGCATGTCTCTCAGCGGAAACAAAGGGTAAAGCTTCAGTCTCAGCCTCACATTCCCTATGATAGCATCGTGCATGTTTACACTACCTGAATACATATATTTAGACAGTAAAAATACATTTAGACAATGATAGACAGTAACAGTAATTATTATATAATAAAATACATTTAAAAATAAAGATTTCTTATTAATTATTTTAATATCAATAATAAACCATTAATACATTTAATTATAATAATATTGTCGTGCCCAGTGGGGACGGAACGGAGACAAAGGCGCAGACGTCAGGGATTCGGGGAATACGGGGTTTAATTACAGGTAAGGCAGGCAAAACGCAGACGGACAATACAATGACCGGACTGGGGAAACAAACTGAAACGCGGACGAAATACAGAGGACTAATGACAACAACCAGAAACAGCTGATCACACGGGGATTCCACACGGGGTTAACGAGGGGGCGTGGCTCACGGAAGGAGCGGACGATCGGGGCAGGGCACATTGTTTGGATACATTTATTTTCTTACTTTAAAAATTACTGTTTTGATAAATGTGCTTAGATGTGTTTAGTACAGTATATGCTCTTGTTTTGTCTGGTTCATTTTGTGTTTAAATGCTAAAAAAAAAACATATTTTGGTGTCATTTTTTGGGGCCGGGAACCAATTAATTGGTTTTCCATTATATCTTATGGGGAAAATTCGATCAGAACTCGAACTTTTTAGGATTCGATCCGGAGTTCTGAACGGATTAAATTCGAGTTCTGAGGTACCACTGTATATTTTTGACCATCTCAGTAAGTTTTTAAGGCTTCTTTTGAGAAATAATATTTTCCTTTTTCTATTGCTGCTTCCCATCACATTTTGAGCCCATTTTTATATTTTCAGCAAATCGGTTAATTTATTTTGGACTTAATTTTGGTTTCTTTAGTGTCTTTTTATTGGTTTTCTAATTTTCACCATTGAAATACATGGGATCAATTTTCCTGTTATCAACAGTCTGTGCTTCTCTCACACGGAGGCCAATAAAGTACTTAATGTCCGTCCGTTAATTCTGGAATAATGAAGGGTTTTGGGAAACACACGTAGACCTCACTCATTCTTTACCTGCATCGTTCTTTATCCTGTTCGTTATTCGTTAAGATCGATTACTTTCGCTAAAGCCACCCCTGATTTATTTATCAGAGGGGTGAACGTCCTATTGGTTAAGGGAGGCATCTCAGCTCTGGTGGGTGGAGTTTATGCGCTGCCAATCTCCCGCTCTCTAAACCTGCTTCCCACTGCTCATGTTGACTTTCAAAGCTGCAGTTCTCCCACTTCTATTACACCATCTGAACCCATTTAGCACAGAGCTGATTTAAGTGATTGATAATGTAAACAAGCCTCATTTTTCGGTGAAAATGGCTTAATGTCAGGATTATTTAAATGAATGAATCTCCCTGTACTGCCACATTAGAAGGGCCAGGATTCTAGAACGTGGATGTGTGGATGATCACTGGGTATCGCTCTGCTCTCAGATTAGCGTACAGTTTACATGCAGACGAGTGGGACTGAGTCTTGATCATGTTAAATTTCTACGTTAAACTCACTTGTTTTCCTTTTTGTTTGCCCTGTGTCTTCTCTGTTTCAGACAGATACAGACAAAAGCGTAACTCAAAAACCACCACCCCAGGTATCCGGACTTGCCGCCGTCTGTGCTTCTCCTTGAGAAATCGGGCCATCCAATAAGAAGCCGTAGAGCTCTTAGGAACCCTGCACGCTGTCGCAGTGAAGGCTGTTACCCTAGTCCCCATTGGTCCCCATTGGTTTGGTTTGGTCTGCTTCATCCAGTCCTTGTTGGCGATGCAAGTCATGCGTGTTGCGCTCATGAAATTGGTGTGGGCACAAATCAGCGTGATTCTGGTGTCTGTCTGTAGCGCTTTTACTCCCCCCACCTCCCACCCCCTCGGTGCTTGTGGGCCCACCCCCACCCCGGCCCCTCGTTCTCTGCCTCGTTTAGCCTCTGACCGTCAGAACTGTGAGAATCACAGGCTTGAATGAACCTGGCCAATGGCAATGAATGATGCTGGTCATGTCACAAGACTGCAGTTCCTTTCTGTCTTACCTGCTGGCAGAAAGCTCAGACTTCTTTAGTAACCAGAGGAGAATCTCCTCACGCATTAGACTTTCAGACAAGCCAAAGGCTCTCCGTCAACACAGCTCTTCTGTCTAATGTCAGAGTGATCATATGATGCTCGATTAACTAATAGAATTAAAGTGAGAGGTTCTAATCCTCTGCAGCTGAGTGGCTAATCTTAGCACACATAGCTGTTATGAGTGGAGAACTTTAAATATCTGTTTTTTTCATGCTGTGCCTGTTCATGTAGCAAAGCGTTCCTGCTCCTTTTTCTCATTCCCTTGAGTTAACATTGAGCCTCAGGGCTCGAAAACCCTCTTAGACTTCAACAATGAGGCAGAGGACATCGTCTCCCCTCAGCTCTCCTGTGCCGGGGGCCCAGGGTTCGATGTGGCATCGTGCTGTAGCGCCATGGCAACCCAGACAAGCACGGTGAACTTTCTCTCCCATCCCAGAGCTATCACCTGCCCCCTGAGTGAATGCTAACTGCATAAAACCAATGTCACTCATGCCAGGCTTTCAAACAAGACAAAACTCCCTCCTCCCCACACTCCCACTTCTCCCTGCCTTCTTTCCGCTGTTCCATCAGCTCCGTGAATCAGCACTGCGTGGCTTCATCGCAGCATCATGGCGGTGTCTTGTCAAATGGATTTACCCATAATCCCTCTCTCGTATAATTAGACTGTGCTGCAAAACTATTAGTCACCTCTTCTGGTAGCTGGAGCTGGAGGTGTGATGGCCACTTTTATTATAAAAAATTTATATAATGTGAAGTTTATTTCTGGGGTGGACACACTTAATCGATTTCTCATTAGTGGTCCTTTATGCTTCTGAGTCTCAAAGATGTTCTTAATATGGAATAACATCAGTTACCAGTATCTATAATAATAATAATAATAAATAATAATAATGTGAGATTGGTGATGTGCTGCCAAGTCAGTACTAAAGGGGGCTTCACTTTGCTGGTATGGCTTAGCATGCTGTTGACGGAACTTGGTCATCGCACCATTGGGGTCTCACCCCCCCAGCCCTGCAAAGATGGGCCCTGACGGCCCTCCTCCTGCGGTAAGGGTGATGATGCTAATGGTTCCCTATCTGTTTTGACATCCCCCCCCTACCCCACCCCCCCCCAAACAGTCTGTGGGAAACGCTACAAGAACCGGCCCGGCTTGAGTTACCACTATGCCCACACTCACCTGGCGGATGAGGAGGGGGAGGACGAGAGGGACTCTGAGCCGCCCCAGTCCCCGCCAGCCCACCGATCCAACAACCACAAACGTAAGAATGTGCCCCCCCCCCCCCCACTCCATGGACCCATGGCTGTCGAGTACCTACTGGGTGATACACGTGTCCTCACCCAAATAAAGATGGATCTGGCATCTCAGACCCTTCTCTGCTTTTTATTGACATTGAAGCATCACGGAGATCTCAGATCCCAACTTCTGTAGGGGCTGCTGATCAGCCGCAGTCCAGCGTTCTTCGCGGGTGCTGATGAGTGGCTTTGGCGGCTGCAGAGTGGCGTCTCGGAGCTTCACGCTGTCAAACTGCATCCCCGGCGACTCCCAGATGTAAATATCTGGGCTTTGAGTTTACATACTTGTGGCTTTGTTTTATCTGCGGCCAATTAGCTCGCTGCTCGCCGGGGACGGCAGCCGCTCAGTTCCCCAGTAACCCTAGGCATGAGCCAACACTTGCTGTGCTAGGGGTCTGGATTACACACCTCCCCCTGTTGCCTGACCTCGCGTCTGCAGCCACTGCACAACCATGGAATTAAACACCATTGCAGGAAAATGCTGCTTTGCTCTGTAGTCCCACCGATATGTAAAAAAAACTTGTTCATTTAACTGACATTCAGAAATTTAACTGACAGCAGTTTCTATGGCTGGATGTTTTAGTGGGCCAACTTTTATGTTAAATACCACAGCTATGTCTCTGTGACAGAGCTTTAACTGCTGTGCCGCCTACTGACCATGGTGGGTTATTACATTAAAGTAAAGCAGTGTTTAGGGGAAACCAGCCCCCCCCCCCGGCTAATTCATCTGCTTCTTCCGCAGCAGCTCAGAAGGGGCCGGATGGAACAGTCATTCCCAATAACTACTGTGACTTCTGCCTGGGCGACTCTGGATCGAACAGGAAGACGTGTCAGGCTGAGAACCTGGTGTCCTGCTCAGACTGCGGCCGCTCCGGTGAGTCCCCCGCATGCACACATGCAAGCTCCGACCCCCTCATCCATCACAGCCCAAACGTTGGTTGCTTCCTACTCCTCCTCACCCGCCTCCCTCATTGCCCCCAAAGCTCGCCAAATCCCCACCACTCCTACAGTATTACTGCTTTTCCCTGTTTGGGCAGTGGGCTGGGGCTCGCCTTCCACCAAATCCTGCTGGAGGTCTGTGTGGCTTCTGGCTTTTTCCACAAGCGTCGCTAGTAATGGGAACAGCGACTCAAATCAAGCAGCCTTTTCACGGTGCATGAAGTGGCGTATTATCTCAGGAAACCGTTAAGCTGGTGCCAGCTGGCTGTGATAAAGACTCTGGGGGGGGCGGAGCCTGATACCCCTCTGTCCTGATTACCGCAAGCTCCTCATGTCGGGAGGAGGCCAGTCAAAGGAACGTGCCCCAGCACTCGCTGGTGGTCCACGCTTAAGCCTGGTCCTCTGCGAGCAGCATCTCCAGACCCCTTTTGTAGAACGTGGTATGAGGACGTAAAGCGGCCCCACCTCCAGGAAGATCACACGCAGGATGCGACATACTGAGCCCAGACGGCACTAGTGATAATTAAACACCTATTTAACCATAAGGGGACTTGTGCTGCACCCCAGCGTGCGTGTGACAATGCTGAAGTCCCCCAGCAACACCCTCCCTCTGCGCCTCGAAGGATTCCACCGCCTTGCCGCATGCTTCCTTGAGAGCAGCTCGCCCGAATCCTTGAATAAGTTTACATCCGCGATTAGCTTCGTATCTGAAGCCAACATTAATCCTGACTGAAATCCCTCACCGCACCGTTTCTTTGATCTGGCAGAAGTTGTTTGAGAAAAGAGCTCAGGAATCACAGAAGTGCCCCAGTATCCCACTCCGTGGGTTTCACAGTGCCGTTATTGTGATATTGTAAGAGAATATAACATGCATTTCTGAATCTTTAGCTGAGCTGATCCAGGGACCATGTCACTTCTGCAGCCTGTGCACGCTCTCTCATTGCCTGCTTCTTTTCACCCTCCATGAGACCCTGCGCTCCGGCCCACATCCCTCCATCCTATGAGTTGTGTCCACACTGCCAGCATCGTCCAGTGCCTCCATTCGGTGGACACCTGGCACCGGAGCGGGGATCCACTGCTTCCTATGCATTCGAGTCGCACAGGTCCAAGACTAATAGGACAAGCATTTTAAGGAAATAATAATTGAAACTTTATCAATCCCCTGAGAAAAATCCTCCTTAGTCTCCCTTCACTGAAAGTAACTTCAGACATACCAAGGCCTTGAACCAGCAGCTTTCTAATCAGACTGGGCTGGTGGTGAACACACTATTGTGGGGGGTGTGGGAGTGGTGAGGCTTGAACCCGGGTCCCAGATGTTTGAGAGAGCAGTGCTAAACACTACACTACCAGGATTTTCTTTTCCAGGGGGTGATATGTGTGAACCCAGTTCCCTCTTGGTTTTCTACTTTCTTTGCCAGCTTAGTGGTTGCTTGAGTAGCTCAGTGGGCTGAGCCTCTATACCTGTGATTAGAAGGTTGCTGGTATGTCTGAAGTTGCTTTCAGTGGAGGGAGACTAAGGAGGATTTTTCTCAGGGGATTGATTAAGTTTCAATTATTATTTCCTTAAAATGCTTGTCCTATTAGTCTTGGACCAAGGCAAGGTACACTGTTTTCAGGCTGGGGTGGTGGTGAGCACACTATTGTGGGGGGAGGTGAGGCTTGAACCCGGGCCCCAGGTATATGAGATTGCGCTGCTAACCACTACACCACCCTTCTCCTGGTGATATGTGTGAACCCAGTTCCCTCCTGGTTTTATGCTTCCTTTGCCAGTTCAGTGGTTGCTTGAGTAGCTCAGTGGGCTGAGCCTCTGTACCTGTGATTAGAAGGTTGCTGGTGCCAAGCACTGATTGGCAGTCGGTGTTTGAGGGGAGGAGCTGGGCCAAGAATCCCGGGGGTTTGTCACAGCCCAGTCTCTGTCATTTCGCTGCATTTGTCCTGGTTCTATGTCAGTCAGCTCTTCTTAATCTGTATGAGTGTTTCGTCAAGAAAATAACCCCCCCCCCCCCCCCACTTGCTGGCACTTTCATGGGGACTAAGGATACTGTTATCAGGAAGATTACATATTTTTTCTAATTTGAGATTGCTCTTCTGCACAGATAAAATGTTTTGCCTCAGGCAAAGCTAATAAATACGCTAATAAAATGTATTCACAAAGAACATAATTAGAGAGCCATAACCCAGGCTTTGCTGTCCAAATAAGCACTTTCCCTGGGGTTAATTGTTCACAGTTCAGCCTGAGGTCCCCTTAAAATCTATCCCAATTGCTTATATCCTATGGCCAGTAAGAGGAGCCATATACATGGCAATCCTTTTGGGACCTGCTCATCGGCCATGGCATGCAGGTGTTGGCCAGTCTCTCCTACTGTCCAGGGCACCTACGACATGCTGTAAACCAGCGATTACTGCTAACTCACCGCCATCAGAGTGCAGCCTGATTTGTGCTGTCTGATGGACTTGAGTGTTCACACCCACGCTGTTGTGTGATTCTACTGCAAGCACAGCTGAGGTACCGTAGGGGATTTCCTCATCAGGGGCCCGTGGGGATGTGCCATGGGCCCGTGGGGATGTGTCAGGGGCCTGTGGGGATGTTCCAGGGGCCTGTGGGGATGTGCCAGGGGCCCGTGGGGATGTGTCAGGGAACCGTGGGGATGTGTCAGGGCCCTGTGACGGGTTCCCACCTTGTAGCTCGTCTTCCCTGAATGTGGGTTAGCATTTATAGCTTCTGTCCAAAACATTTATCCTCGTAAAAGGCAGTTGCTGGGAGGGCATGTTCCTCTGCCTGTGGACATTCATATGCATCGTTTTGTTTTAATTTCCTTCCTCTCCCCAGATTTGTTCCTATCTGTTCTGGGAAAAAAAAAATGACAATCAACTTGGTGACTCGGTACATAGTGTCAGAACTTTCAAGTAAAAGCTTTTCAATTTAAACATGTAACTTCAACTTGCCTGAGTTAGTACCTAAACACCTGGACCTGTGACTTTAAATGGCAACATAAATATCCGGTGTTTTGAAAGGTGAGCTTTGGCTTGCGGGAACACTCTGAGCAGTCAGACTGGTTGTCATGGCGCCCAAGTCGGGGATAAATGGGGTGAAGCTGGAGACGTGCGTGTGTCCGTGTGGTGGATTAATGCAGTGCACCACTGCGGGCCAAATATAGACGTGCTGGTGTCTGCATCGATGAAGGCAAGCTGTTGTTTTCAGGTTTCACCTTTGACCTTTGGGCAGCGCTGAGCCCAGGCTTCTCCTGCAGGGACGCGGTCTCATGACACAGTTCTAGCGTCTCTGCTGGTTTAGTGACGTGCAGACTGTTGTTTACAGGGTGACCTCCTTTCTGACCTCAGATCAGGTTGAGTGTTGGCAGACTTTAAATGGGGTCAGTGTGAAATTTGATAGATAGAGTAGAAAGTTCTTCATTGTTGCTCTGTTGGCTTGGAGGCTGGGGTCCAGTTAGCGCTCCCCATCTCATCATGTCACATTAGCTCTATCACATCCTCCACACTAACTAAATTCCATCATCCATCATCATCCAGACACTCATCTTCCATCTGATGTGTGTTTCAGTTGAGAGCTTGAGAAACCTGGGAAATAGTGAACCTTACTGATGCAGCTGCAGATGCCACTTTCTGTCTCTGTCTGATTTTTTTCGCACCTGCTAACTCTCATTTCCCCCATGAGGGATTTCATGGTTTTGCATTGCAAGAACAGCAGTCTCTTGCCTTTAACAGACTGGTCCTGAAATCAGTTACAAAATCGTTACTCCATTAACGATTGTCTGGTGGCAGGCACCGACCCAATGTTTAAGGAGAGAATTCTGGAAGATTTCACAGTGGGCCATTATCTGACAGCCGCCACAGCCGCCTCTTCCATATAAGGAGCAGACGCGCTGTGCTTGACAGTTGCCGTTAGTTACCGAGCAGCCAGGGCTAATCGTTTGTAGGACACGCTAATGTCACAGTGAGATCTAAAGCGCTCCCTTAAGATTTTGGTATGACGCACAGTAGCCACTACTCCAGTGATTTTCCTTATCTGCGAATCAGGAAGTAGATGTGTCATGTGACACTGGCCTGCCCTTCCACCCCACCCCCCCTCCCCAATCCTTACCTCTCCTGCTTTCTGCTACCGTCACTCAAGACCCAGGCTGCTGAGGGCCCAGTAGGCTGGCTGCCATCCTTTGCTTTGTGGTTGTTGCGGTGTATTGCCATGCCCCCCCGTGCTGATATATTCATCATGCATGTCAGCTGGACGCCTCGGAGGGCGGGACCAGAGGAAGACGGGCGGGGCCGAGGAGTTGTTTGGCGCCACATCGGAAAGCGACGCGTCCACATTTCACGGCTTCGAGGACGAGGAGATTGACGAGCCCTTGTCCAACGGCAGCGTGTCGCCCCCCCGATGCAGATAGAAAAAGCTTTTAAATAACAACGAAAGTTTAAAAAAAAAAAACCTGACTAGTCTGCTGCTTTTTAATAGTTTTTTTTTTTTTTTTTGCAGAAAGCACAATTGATTATTCTTGAGGATAAAAGCAAGTGTTCGGTTTATTTTTAATTTTATAGTCCATTTTATCGACTTAGGAGACAATGAATTAGGAGTTTTTTTTTGCCGGATGTCTGACAGCAGCAAGCACAGGACAGCATGCTGCTGACTGATGTCTGTTGGTGACAGGAGATTTTTATTGGCATTTTTCATTTTTGTTCCCTCCTAGAGGGTAAATGCAAATATAATATAAGATGGGGATAATAAAAAAAAAAACTCTGGAACGTGTGGATTTAATTGTACAGTATGGAATAGAGCAGATTTGCAAGCAGAGTTCTGCTTTAAGAATAATAATTCATAAAAGACTGAAGGAAAGCATGAAGATTTTGAAAGTGAACAGTCTGTAGCAGGAGAAGGATGAGATGAAGCAGCAGGCTGAGCCTCACAGCCTGGGGGGGCGAGAATGGAGGCGGCTGAGTGGATCCATGTCTGGGAAGAGCATCCAAGACCCCATGGATCGGTCCAGTTGCAGACACAGAGAAGCGGCAGGTAAGAGCTGAATGATACCCCCCCAAATCTCCTAACCCCAGCCCCGAGTCCCCCAGAAAAAAGCGTCCCGGTTCCCGGGTCTCCCGTTTGATTAACAGGAGCCCATAATTCCTTGTCACCATCACCATTCTAACTAAGTTCCATGACTTCCTGTCTCTGAGCCACAGGATCGATAATCGACAGACTCAAATGACCAGAATTATATGAGTTTCTCTCCCCCTATTAAGTTTAACAAGAACCACCATCAATCATGGCCGTAGATGTTAGGCATTACTTAATTTAATTTGGGCTGGTTACGTAATGGAGGTGAAAGGAATTGGCCTCATTCCCATGTCTCGAATGGGTCAAGTGTCCGACCTATGAGCTGGACCCACAAAGACGTGAGAACGACTCACTGCCTGACCCAGTCTGTTTTTACCTGACCCAGTCCGATTCTTTTTGACACTCTGCTTCCACCCCTCCATCCAGAGTGTGGGATTGATCCCAGTCCAAGGTTCCATGTCCCTCGTTTTGAGTGAAAGACCCAGACTGGCCGTCCAATGCCAAGCAAACCCCGTTACCCTGGCTTATACAGTGTAGACTGCTCTGTGGCAAACATGATGAGGCTGATTGACTCAGCTAAACCTGTAACTCAGAATGCCCTTTCAGTGGGAATTATGCAGGAACGGGGTAGGTTAAGGGGATCATGGCAACCGTGAAGGTCAGCTGACTGCACATTCACGTTCAAACTTAAGGGCTAAAAACGCAGGCGGCATTTACATAATTTAAGCCAACTGGTTGGCAAAATTACGTTGCTCCAGATTCTAAGATGCCCCACACTCTCCTTGCGCCACATACCTTTGCCTGTTGAGGTGTCAAGAAGGTGCTTTGGGTGTCTCTGACCTAAAAACATAGTGTCTAAAAGCATATCTACATAGAGTAAAATGTATTATCTCAAAGACATAGCAGTTTTTCATGCATTCATATGACATCTGTTCTCATTCTTCTGGGTCTTTTGAGAGCTTAATGGCTGTTAATACGCAGTGTGAGCCAAACGTTTAAGACGTGAGCAGTTGGCTAAGAGGAAAACATGGATGGCAAGGGGATTTTGGGTGCACTGCAGGGATTTGGGGAGCTGGGACATCAGCCTGGGCTCCAGTGCTGACATAGCACTGCGCTAACAGGACATGCACCACGTCTGCCAGTTTCCCAAAGTTCCGTTGTGCAACCAACTCTCCTCCTTTTCCTCCTCCATCATTGTTCTCTTTGCACCATATTGCCTGTCCAACGACAACGATCTGCTTCTTTCTTTCCACAGGAAACCTGCAGAGCAAAATTTGTCAGAACTCGGACCGGCAAACAAGAGGAAGCTGGACCACACAGCCCCCCCCGTTCACCTGGTGACCCTTCCAAGTCTGTGAAACCCCTCCTTTATCCAGACCTGATCAGCACTTCAGAAACCTGGCGCCCTCTACAGGCCGCATGCTGACAGCATGGACTGACCGACTGACTCACACACCCAGCGTCCTTCAGAGCATGTGCAATACGGATCCGGATGACCTCATCTTGATGAGTGTGATGTGTCAGTATAAGGGCCGAAGTATATGAAGGATAAGGGCAGTGGTTTAGGTTGGGGTCAAACCAACCAAAAGCCATAGTTGTTTGTGTGCGTTTTTATTTTATTTTTTTAAACCATTAACCTGGACACACTCACTCACACTTTATAAGCACTATCTGGTAAAAAAGAAACCAATAAAAAAATATGGGTACACCACTGGGGTCAGTGCGGGTACCTGGACAGACCAGGCAGGTTAACCCATTTGGAACTGTTAAATCTTCAATGTGTCACTTTGACAACTAAACCTACTGAAAAATGTCCACTGGATTGGTGATATCCTTGTGGAAATGGCAGGGGGAAGTCCGATGGATAAAAGGCCCACTTTAGCAAAAGGATGCTGCTCGTAAGGGAGGGGAGACCGCGGGGAAACACTGTCCTGAGAATGTGAAGGCCCCTCATTGCCTGTTGAAGGTGAATATGGGGACCCCAGCTTTGGTTCAAAGGAAATGGTCTTTCCACCATTTCAGGAACAGAGGAGACTGACATCAAAGAGCTCCCATTACTATAGAAACCGGTCTGGATTTACTCCAGCTTACTGGGATTTCCAGGTGGGTCGCAACTTAAATGTCACTAACTCACTCCCACCTGCTCCGTTCTGTGTTTGGCGCCACATCACCTAAGACTGGCATCCGGGAGGACATAGTCATGGCAGATCTCTGCGAATTGGCCCAGGGAACCACCAGCTCTTGCTCTGTGGTTCCCATCGAAGCCTGGACTTGGGGATGTGTGCAGCAAATCAGGTCTCTGCCTGCATCAAAGAAGAGGTGTTCTTGTTGACATGTTCTTGGTTAGAAGCAGCCGTTGTCCCACACCTGCCTCCATGTAGCCGTGGTGAACTGAAAGCAAGTAACTCCACCGGAACATCAGCTCTCAGGGCCAGCTGGGTCCCACTCCTGCACGTTTGTGTTCCTGGTCTCATTTCAGGGGAACTCTGTTGTTTCCAAACCTCAGTTGCAACTCAGGCTTTTTTTTTTTATTTTTTAACTTCTATCAGCAAGTTTTCACATCCACATTATATTCAAATTTCACTGTTCAAATCCCAACAAATTTATATGGTGATTGCGTGGTTTTCATTTAATCTGAAGTGAATAAGGAACTAGGGTCCCCTGGGGGAAAATCCACAAAGGCTTTTAGTATAATTGTGTATTGTTTTGTTTGTCCTTTAACTTTTTTTTTTTTTTTGGGGGGGGGGGGACATGGTGTATTCTGAGGTTGCTTGTGAAATGAAAGAGTTGGATCATGCGTCTTTCACGGAGAGAATATCCCATCGCTTTAACAATTGTATAAGGTTATTTATTTATTTATTGTATTTGTTTGCAATATTCTTATATTTTTGTTCGGGTTAGTATGTACAACTGTGGTTGCTGTTTGGGTTTGCTCTTCTGGGGTGTTCCGTGAAGCAGCCTTTTTAAATCTGTAGCTATAATCTTGATCATTTCCAGTTAATTACATCTCTTGGGCACACACTCAAAAAAAACACGACACATCTCTATTATTCACAGAACAAAGTTTAAGAGTGAAAATAACCACATCGTGTGTCCTGTTAGTAAACTCTTACAGCATGTCTATATTGACTGACTGAAGAGGGCGGTCTCATAAATGGCCTGCCTGGACTCAGAAACTCATGTTTTTATTCACAGTGCACCTTTTCTACACTGGACTATTCCATTCCTTATGTCTTAGCTCCTTAAAAGTTGCAGGAAGTAATAATAATCAGCTATAGGTGTTTTTTTTAAAAAGACTACTATATAAAGGGGCTGCTTACGGTGATTATAGTAAGATGTTCTTTATTTTGCTAGTGAAGCACATTGGTGAACCTGTACAGACGTTTGTCAAGAACACTGAGCTGGTTTACAGTGACAGACAGTGAGTCAGAGGAGAGGCCATTGCGGCGAGTGTGTCATTCAGACATGGGCCACATTTAATTCTTCCTCATTTAAGTTTTATTTTTGACTGGTGAGTGTCGGTTTTGCTGCCGGTATTCTTGGGTTCAAGCCAAGTATGTGCTCTCTGCATAGCCGTCTGCTGGGGATGCAGGATGCCTCATTGGGCATGTGGAACCCACCAGATGGGTGCAAACGATGGCCTTGCAGATGGGGCTCAGAAGCCTGAGATTTCCTTTGGCCGGTCACATGTCACAGCTAAACCCTGAGCTGCTGATCCAACAAACGCTGTTAAGTCTTTCTCAGGATCACAGTGCTTCTCTGATCAGCTCTAAGTGTCTCCCTTTAGGTTCTCTCACAGTCTATGTTGTTAGTTTGTGAGCCAGCAAATGCACAGTGACTCTGAGACAAGCTTTTTTTGGTGCTTCATTTCTCTTCTTTGCTCGAAGCAGGTATTTAGTTTGCTTTACTGCTGCCTGGTCAGTAGATGGGGCTGACTGAAATAGAACACAAGGCATTCAGTGAGCCACAAAAATATTGTCACTTGTTGGGTGGCTCACGAAGGGTCAGACAACCGGCTGGAGCCAGTCTGCGGGCGACTCGAGCGTCACATTCCGCCTCAGAGTGCAAGGCGAGAAACCGCATCCAGCTGGGGTTCTGAATCAGTCAGGCAGGTGCGTATGTGAGGAGAGATACGAAACGTTCCCATCTCGCTTTCGCACCTGGTCAGTTGAGGTGTGAGAATGTTAGCTGCTCCACGCACCTTCTGTTGAGTCATCTTCTTAGCATCTTCTACATTCCCCTCCCCCCCACACATGCTTGCATTCAGTCCAGATTGATGGCATGAGCAGTCTACAAAGGGGACTGCTTTTGCTTGGTGATGCGTCGTCGGTCCAGCTTCATTAAATTGAACTTGAAATCTGATATCCAGCCTTTAAGAAACCAGAGAGGCAAGACTGTATTACGATTCCACACCACTGATTGGCTTCTAAACCATCCTCCACAATTGGCTTAGAAATGTCTTGTAGACATTGCCCCCCCCTCAGTAGACTCTGCATGTGAAATCAAAAAACTGCCTCTTGACGTTAGCAAACATTACCCCTTGACCCCAGTATCATCTAGCTGATGACATAACCCAGAATGGTGTTATCCTGTCCTCAAGGTTTCTTCAGGTGTTTTTTTAAGCCATGTCTTGCCAGTGTGTATGTGCCGGACCCTGGTTTTTGTCATGCGTCCTCAGTGGTGTGCCTCAATAGTACACACTCAGATGACCCCCAGCAAGCCAAGCTGAAGGTTACTGTCGCCTCTGTTCTTGCCAGGTTCCATAGAAAGTGGTCATGCTTGGCCTGGTAGACGTGCGGCAGCATTTTGCTCGTCTTCTGCCCTTTCTCCTCCTCCAGAGTAGGATGGTGAGAGAATTGCTCTAGTCTTCCAGCAGTAACATGCCAATGGGAAAGCAGGCCGCCAGACAGGCAGTGCAAAACTGGTAGATCACCCTGGTTGTGGTTTAAGCTAGATCAAGAAGGGTTTGTGGTATCTGTTCTGTTTTTTGTCACAATTGTATAAATCTCAGTGGTGCTTGAACTGAACACAAGACTGCATGAGATTAGGTTTGCAAATGAATTTCCTGGTGCAAGCAGAACGTCTTACCATGTCATTTGTGTACGATCAAATACTGAACATTCAGGTACTTTAAGGGAGAGCCAGATCAAACTTACACACACACTCTGCTCTTATCAGGGACAGTCTCTGTAACTATAACCAGGAAGCAAATAGCACAGCCTCTGGCTCTCTAACTGGAAAGTCGCCGCACGTTTAACGTGTGATCTTTCCTTTCTTGAACAGTTTCCTCTCCGTAGGGGTTCTGGCTTCCGTCTCATCAGGGTGAGTAAAGTAGCTGCTCCCTGCAACATTGCGACATCAAGATTGTAGAATGAAAGTGTACATTTCCTCACTCGATGCTCAAGGTGTCACATGTAGCTTCATCCTGTGGAAAGTCCATACTGGGCGTCGGACCTCCGACCAGCTTCTTGGTGCGCTTCCGAAGGACAGTCGACTGTCAGCATTGAAGGTAGTCAGGGCAGTGTCATCAGGGAAATCTTGTGCAGTTTACGTACCTCTTAAGAGTCCACAAAGGCTGAAGGTCAACGCACCCCTTTGCTGGCCTTCTGGATTGAAGGAGAAATCTATGTTGAAATGAAGCTGAGATCAAACTGACTGTTGTAAACTTATTTTTGTCTGTAAATAATCAAAATGAAACAACGGAAGTCTTTGTAAGTTAAACTATTTTTATTGTAACAAAGGCAAATAAAGAATGGCACTGCTACCCCTTGCCTGGGCACTGATCTTGTGGAGTCAAGTAAAAGTGTGGATCCCTTGACCCCTGTCCTCTACTGCCTCTAGATGATGTGCCACGATTACAGAGCTGGAGGATGCCAGTCAGAGGCCAAAAGCATTCCAGAACTCTTACTCTACTTATATGACATAGCCCTCCAATACTGAGACGTTTACACCATGGCCACTAACCAAATCGATGAGAAATTAGTTCCCGTACTCTGCAGTAGGATTCAGACAAGAAAAACCCAAATATCAAGGATTGGCAGACAAGGTAAGGCAGCTCCGCACAACTCTACAGGTAAACCCAAACATGCAAAGTGCAGCTTGATGTACAATGCAAACGGTCAAACGTGCAAGGACAGACGGTCTCAATTTCAGTGAGAGATAGTTTTGGGGTATTATATGTAAGGTGGATGTTAGGGTTAGACAACTCTTTATGTAGCACCTTGTGTTATCTTCAAGAGTATGGAATGGATTTTCCCAGACCCAAGTTTCTTCAAGGTAGAAGTCCTTCACATGAATACCACACAACCGTAGTGTGGTCAGTTTGTACATCCAGGTTTGTGGAATTATATGTGCTTTGTTGTTTGCTTTTTTTCTTTGGTGCCCCTGTCTGTCACATGAAGCCTGTATACCAGCCAATTTATCCCTGTATGTTGCCTTAGCAACAGGGTGCAGCTCACATGCGCCACGTGACTTGTGTGGTGGACCAATCCGGTTTGTTTCTTCCGGTAACTTGAAGCCATATTGTGAGAGGATCATGTCCCTCCTGTTCTCGGAAGCTTCCACACTCCACCTTAGTGTCTGCCCTCCAGTTGGGGTCCCTGATTGGAGTCACTGGCTTCCAGTTATATGAATATACTTGACTTTTCTGGGTCTGTGAAGTGAGTCAGACTTGTACGAGTTGTTGCACTGTCGTACACACATAGCAGAATACGGCAGCCCTTCTGTTGCTATGAGAGAATCAGATGTGTTCATATATGTCCACATAGCAGAAAACACGTTGAACGTTAATGACCACTGAGGAACCTCTACATTGGGTTGTCAGCTATGTTTAACAGTATTACTCTTTCCCAATTACAGGCAGATGTCATGCAAGCATCCACCAAGTATGTGTTGACCTTCCAGCCGTGCAACCAAAGCAGGGCTTGTCAATGTAACAGCAAAAAAAAAACAGACATTGTTCCCTGCCTTGTATTCCCATTGCCCTTGAATGTTCCATTCCTATTTTAAGCTGTAAATTCCAGTTAAAATCAGTGTTTCCACAAAGTCCCAGACAGATTTTTGGCTTACAGTGTAAAGATACTATGAAGGAGAATGAGACGACATTTTTCCTCAGAAGCCACGTTTCTGCCTTTTGGAATTATAACAAAAATTCCAGAGTGATAAACACTATATTTAACCTGAAGCTTTCTGCATAATGGATGAAAATAGGTCATCAGCAACGACAAAGAATTAACCAACACTTACAGGAGCAGGTGTGCTGGTACCATTAAACTTTAAGGGGAGAACATATGGAATAAATAGCACTTAAAAGTAACTGATGGGGTATTTTGCACATTTTACAATCTTTTAGGTGATTTAGCTGGTTCGATGTGTGAAAAGCTCCTTGTCTGAGGAATTAAAATAAACACTTTGATGTTGTTAATGAGAATGAAACCTTCCTGTTTTAGGGAAACGTAAATCCGACATTGCTGCTCTAGTTCGTTATATGATCTCTGTGGATCTGACCAGACATCAAGACAGGTTGCGCTGCATGGCATGCTGGAAAATCCATGCAGCTCCCCTGGCTCATCAAAGACGGCTGCTGCATGCCTGGTTCTCCCAGATAGCCTTTAATTAGAGTGCTGTTTTTAGTCACTTCCTGGGTAATTAGCAAGCAGTGCACACACACGGCGATCAGGAAAGAGCCTGCCGGGAAAATCAGAGCTCGTCTTTGCTTTCCTGTTCCTCCCACGCCTTCCTGCCAATTTTGATTGAGCAGCTGACAGGAGGATGGCATTTTTGAGAACGATGTCAGAAGCTTATGTCGGTCCTATGCTCCGTGCTAAAAAAGCAATAACTTGAATGATGATCAGGTGGACTGGCCCCCAAAAACCACCAGCCGTGCGCCACAACATGACAGCCCGTGAGCAGTAGTAAGACAGAACACCACCCTTGACTTGCACAGGTTCAGATGCAGGTGCATGAGGCAGCCATGGTGATATATAACCATGTATCAAGATGAAGGATGGAATGTCGGATGCATTGTGAAAGGAGGAAATGCAGAGATGGAAAATGGCAGCACAGAAGGTTCAGAACATACCCAGATAGGAGTTGTATTTGAGTCCATGTGAGGTTTCTCTCGATTTGAAATAACAGTTTATCGTTATATAACCCGGCATGTCCTCACTCCATCCCCTACAGGTCACCCCACCTGCCTGCAGTTCACTGACAACATGATTCAGGCTGTGTGCACCTACCAGTGGCAGTGCATTGAATGCAAGACCTGCAGCCGGTGCGGCACCTCTGAGAATGATGTAAGACCCCCACCCCCCTCCACCTTCCATAGCAACAGAGTGACAGCCGCGTACTCGGGCCAATCGGGGCAAGGGCCACCCTAAATATGGGGCTGGTGAGGCAAACCTGCTTTCTCTCTCTGTCCTTAGGACCAGCTCCTGTTCTGTGACGACTGTGACCGGGGCTACCACATGTACTGTCTAAAACCTCCCATGAGTCATCCCCCTGAAGGTGAGGCTCAGCCATGTCCTGTTGGACCTCAAGGTCTCAGAACTGCACGTAGCCTAGCAATGATCGCTCTCGAGAAAGTGAATGGCCTGCAATCATGAGATCTTTCCAGACATGTCTATAGGAAGGTAACATGTTTCCTTCTGACCTTTCCTCTATAGGGAGCTGGAGCTGCTATCTTTGTCTGGCCCTCCTGAAAGACAAGGCCTCAGTCTTCTCTGAGCCATAACGGCAGGCAAGGCAGCTGGGGAAACAGACGCCAATTATGGCTACATTCCTTTTTAAGCACAGGCACTTGCAGTATAGCCACATCCCCATCCACATACAAACACACACACATACATTCAAACGAGACCCCATGTGGTCACTTTGCTGGTAATCTCTTTTCATTCTGACCATACAACTGCTAGCTACATCTCTGCAAAAATGCCCAAGCTGCTTGATGCTGTACCGGTCACCGCCTCACCTAGCCGAGTAAACTAAACATAATAGTGTGGAAAACGTGCAGTCATTCATTTTGAATGAAAGTGTCATTGCACAATCACCCCTACTCTACCTCTCACCAATCAGAAGCTCGACGCCAGATTTTGAAATGTTTATCAAACGAGGACTGTGGTCCCTTTAAGGTAAATCCTCACCATATGAAAAAGTGTCCCTCCCACACGAAACTCAAAAGCACAATCTCTGTATGCAGTGAGATTAGACATAAACTGTGACGCCAGACTTTCTGGATTCTGTGGCAGTAAACAGAGCACTGACAAACACAGGGGTGAGCAAACCTACGTCACATCCTCTGGGAATTTGGTGCAGCGACTCCAAGTGAAGGTTATTGTTTCGTAAGGTTGAAGTTCCGCTCTACTGGCAACTCTGATTGGTGACATATGGATTAGACTGTTTTATTATCTATAACTATTTTTATGTCTTGCATTACCTTCCCAAATTAGAAGTGCCTAGTAGCAAGACTGGATAGATCTGCTTGTGTCCATTACCCATGGCTTTATGTGCAAGTATGGCATCGAGTTTAAATGTTAACAGATAGCTTCATCCGCATAAATGTCTTAATTTTTGCGTTAAAAAGTCACATTAAATGCAGTTACACCTTTAGAGTGGGTTAGTGTCTGTTATTATAATTAAGGTGGCCGAATACTTCAAACGACATCCAGTCAAAACAATCGAACATACTGGCGAGAACAATCTCTTGTGTACTTAAGATGGCGCTGTCACCTTGCTTGTTTTATGTCACACCACAACCCTGGAGGGCAAAACATTACATGGTTACAACCTCTACTGTTAACACAAATGCACATATTAATTTACATTATTTGAAGTGTGGTGCGGTGCACAGCATGCCAGTAACTGAAATAATGTTTTCTGTTGGCCAGCACTGCGGCATCACATTTAAGTCAGGCACTCAGGGACGGTAGGTGGGATCAGAACAAAGCAGAAGGTGAAGCGCTGGGAGCAGCACAGGTCATGCGGCGAAAGGGTCATGATTGCGGATGTCGATTTCGTCTGAAGTATACGGCCAGCTTTAGATGCAGCTGATGTTGGACTCGTAGCGAATGTGTAAACTGCGTGTATCCTGAATTGTCCTGTCTGGCTTTCCAATGGCATTTTCATTGCCGTGACCACTACGTCTGTGCAACTTATTGCCGGACATCCGCTTAATTTTTTACTTCTGACTTTAAGCGTTACAGTCTTCTCATAGTATGCCGAATATAAGAGCAGCGATCCAGTCATTTGTGCTTCAAGTGTAACTTCACGTTGATTTGATCAAGAATCCACTTGTGCGTCTCCAGTCCATAGTTGTCTTCTTTCAATCCCGTATCTCTCATTCTATTAGCGTTCAAGTTTGTATAGTTCTTTTGCCGATTCGGGAAGAATCAGTTTCTATGTTCCATCCGGAGTGCGGCTTTTTGTGCAGTGTAGATTTTCATAAGTAATTAAATGCTCTCCCGATTACCTTGCAGAACATCCAGTTGTATCCAGATGTGTGTGGCATCATTTCGTCAATACTGATTGATTTGTCTTCCATTGCTTATAATATTTCCAGTTAATGCCATCTATCCCTGCGGTCTTCCTTTTCAGAAATGCTGAACTGACCTCTTCCTTACAGAAGGCTCTTCCATGTATCTGACCTCATTCAATATACCTTGCTTGGGGATGTGTTTGCTGTGGAGACCTTCTGTGTATCTTAACATCTCTTTAGTCATTATTATGATTAATTATTTGCTCGTTTTTCCATGTTTACTTCTGACTTCAATGACTT